ATGGGAATGAATTAAAGGGAAGGTATTTCTAGGGACCTAGAATTGCTTATATACCTCCCTTCTAAAATACTAGCTAAGCTGAAATGGGTCTGCCTTGGCTTAGGGCAGTGCTTCTCAATTATTTTCTGTCATGCCCCCCTAGGAAGAAGAAAACATTTCGCGCCCCCCGCGCGACTGTAAATAGTATCATTTGTCTATAAAATTGTTATAAATACACCTCTGCATAAGACTGTATCCTTATTAACGTATATGAGAATAAAAAAAGAAAGAAATGTGGATCAATTTACAACAAAGAATAGCTTTATTAACTGTAGCAGAAAAGATTTAAAGGAGCACAATATTAAAAAAAAACTTTAACCTGCAAAACAAAAATATATAAAATAATTTGAGCTGATTTTTTAATCAGAGTTGATGTCTGGATTAATGGCTACAATGAGCATGTTTTTCAGTGCATAGCTTTTCGAAGCGGGGTTTGAAGCAGGACACAGCAACTCTCAGCTCCTTCTCAATGTGTAGCCGAGACCTGTATTTGCTTTTCAGAGCAGCAACAGCAGAGAAGCCAATCTCACACAAGTAAGAAGTTGCAAATGGAAGAAGAATGTGCACAGCAGTCAGAAAGTGGGATGATTGTTTGCAATATTCGACATGTTTTCGCTGAAAATACTCAAGCGACTTATTAGCGTGATTGGGGTGTAATGTCTTTAAGTGACGACTTAATTTATTTGGCTTCATGCTGTCCGCTGCCAACATTTTTAGACATAGTAAGCACACCGGTCTTTCCTCGTCTCCCACCGTAGTCACAGTGAAGCCAAGCGCTACATACGCCTTGTCATATTTCCTCGTCTTAGCCTTCGGAAGACTTTCTTTTATCTTCTTCTCTCCTTCTCTCTCCGCCTGTCTTCTCATCCCTGTTAAAAAATTTTTTTCTGTACAGAGGACCGATTTCCGGATCTAAAAGTCACATGGGCGGGTTTGGCCAATCAGGATAGAGCATCATGTCTATCCAATCGGGTCCTTTGCATGTGTCACGTGCGTTGGCGGTCACGTTGTCCTCCGCGTCGGGCTGCTACTGGGGCTGCGCTGGGACAATCTTCAGTGTTCGCGCCGCGCTGCTCCCTCTCTTCAGCTCTAGAGTTGCTAGGCAACCAATGCCGTGTGGGACGCCGCTTGCGAGTGAGTCGGATGATCCGATCTAGAAATCCAATATGACCGTATTTGCCGAGGTCAAACGAGCCCTCCTTTACGGAGCCTCGCGCCCCCCCCCCCCGGGGGGCGCGCGCCCCACTATTTGAGAAGCACTGGCTTAGGGAATACAAATCTCAAGAATTTGAACATTTCAGAAAAGTGGTTTCCTTTGTTTAAGACAAATCAAAATCTCATATAATAGATGTCAAATTTATATAGGCATTCAGTATTAATTTGTTTTCTTTTAAAGAATTCATTCCTTATGCCTCTAATTTCAGGAGGTAAATCTTCCAAATTAGATAGACTTGCTTCTAGTAAAAGATAAATCTATAAAGATTTTGCCCTATGATTTTGCAAATTCTTAAGCAGTATATGCATACTGCTTAAGAAATGCATTTTTACACTGACTTTTCCAAATATAGGAATTTTTCCTAAGAACTTTTCTCAAATGCCATTTTAATGTTTTCACAGCATTTCACATATTTTGCAATGACATTCTTAATGGACTCAGTTTTCTAAATATTTTAGTTTTGTATCTAATTGTTCAGAAAATTTAATAGAATATCATCCAAACTAATTTTTTTCCATTTCTAATTGTTTCCAACCTGGCTTTTTAGAGCTTATTTAGAAACACAGTTTTGTGATGTAGATGGGGCCCGTCCAGCCACTGTGCTTTGTAAATCCAGGTGTAAGCTAGTTGTAGCTTATTTAACAAACACATAGTTAAATATATCCTGGTTTTGTGTGATATATGAATATAATTAATATGTAGATTTTGCAGGGATGCAGAACCACATTTGCCGTAGTGCCATAAAAGTGTTATCACAGAAGCTAATTCAGAAGACTCTCATGAGGGAATAAACCTCCTGTGTAACAGTTCCACCTCCATGAAAATTACGCTCCTTGCTATAGATGATCCCTATTTATAAAGTTGTTCCAGCTCTGGATTTCTTCTTCTAGCCCCTCCTGAGCTGCATACAATAAAGCTTTCACAGTGTCTGATGGCACACAGCTGCATTTGTAGCAAAACTTCATAAACACCCCAAAGTATAAAAATATGATCCACCTCCAACTCCACCAGACGTTCTGGCCAATGGGGAGGTGAGGCGGTTCCTGCCAGCACAGGGAGGAAGTGTGGTCTAACAGGTGGGCACAGGGCCATCACAGACACCATCCCTCTGGCAAAACTGCTGCTTTTTAACAAATTTCATCTGCTTGCCTGTTGTTTCTCTTCCAAATATGCTTACTTGAGATATGAAGAGGGCAGGCATGGACAGCTATATGGTGTTTTTTTCCTGAGACTTTGGTTTTTCTCTCTTTCTTCCTCTTGCAAATACACACAGGCACACAGACAAATTTCTTAACACAGACGGCTTCTCCAACCCAATACTGCCTCTGTTCCAGCACTGAGTGGATGGAACAGAGAACTTGGGGGTGGCAGCAGTTTGACACTTAGCCAATTGAATCCAATTCTGGTTTGCAAGAAAAATAGTTGGATTACTGCCATTACCTCTAATTCCCCCACTCCTGTAGTCTTTTCGAAGACAATCTACCCATTGCACATACAGAAATAGCTATTAGAAGAACAGGTTGCTTGAGTGAGGATGACTGTGATCTTCTAAATAGCTAATCCACATTTTCATACGAGAGTGCTCCTTTTCTGTAGCAGGGTTGATAAACTTTGCCCTAGACTTCTTTTTCTTCCCCAAAATGGCAAAATGAGTCCAGGATTCCTGGCTTTTTATGTTATCTTCCCTATCTCTCATAACCTTCTTCTCGGTCTTGGTTCTTTCCTGGGTGTCAGAGAAATGAGCATTAATTTGGGGAGTTTGGTACCTCTACTATGTGTTTTGATAATGGCAGTCAAGGAGTTCCCACAGGACTTTCTGATTATTTCATTTTGCTTCCTAGTTATAAAAACAGATACATTCAGCATGTTGGCCATTGAAATTTGTGTAGACAAACTTTGAGCAAGGAAATTTGTAAAGTGTTCCTCCAGTGCTCTCTTCTACAAGAGAGACTGGATTAATTAATATACAGTACTGTGGTGAAGATTGCAAAGGCAATAAAACATCAAGTGATTATTTCTGGTTTTATGTTTGAAATAAGTATTCCTTCAGGGACCACCAGTTTGTAATTTGATGCTGGTTCAGACTGGATAGTACTAGATTTCAGCTGTCTGGCTTTCTCTTCTACCTAACATGGTCTTTTGAAATGAATATCAAATATTATTCATAGGCAGACTACCTGGACTGTTACAGAAAAACCTTACCAAAGAAGTGCCCTGCTGATTGCACAAAGCTTATATATATGTTCCACCCTTTAAACCCTTCTTCAAAGCACCCAAATCTCCTAAATGTATTCCATTTTAGATTCTGGCCTCACCATTTTTATAGTATATTTGTTAGCATGCCACCAAATGCCTGGTCTGACTCTTGAGTTGACAGAAGTTGCACAATCCTGATATAAAGGAACATTCATAAATTCAACCCTCTAATTTATCCTCATCAGTTCTAATTATACCTCATAATTTTGCATAGATATATCAGGTCTAATTCTCCACTTTGCCCTCCCATTCTCTTCTTAATTTCTTCTCAGTAAGGCCCATGAATTGAGTAAGATTCTGTCTGGCTTTTCTTTTGTAGGAGGAGAGGAGATATGATGGGGTTAAAATTGAGGTAAATTTAGAAAGACTTTGGGTCCTTGTTCTAACTACCTGATTCAAATATACTACATATTCTCTGTATTTTCCCAATACCTGTATTATTCACAGTTGAATTCAGTGCTTAGTTAAAAATTTCAAGTAAGTTTAGGAAATAATATTGATGCAGCTGTATAATAAGTCAGAATGTGCTTTCTCAAAAAAGTATAATTGTTTACATATTCTCCTTAATCACTATTTACTGACCTTTCTTCTGATTAAAAATATGAATAAAAATATCCTCAAAATTCAATTTTCCTAAGGGGATTATTTAACTCTGTTTAATTTTCCATACCAGTATCTAGTGAATCTCAATCCCTTTTTGTATAGTCTGTTACTGACTGGAGCAGTTACCATAGGAGAAGTTAGCTAAGAGACAGCCATGAATAAAACAATGTGGCAAGCTTGCTGATGAGGTCTATGAGGAGTAAGTTTTTCAGTTCCAGATATAAAAATGTTAGGATAAACAGTAAAGAAGATATGAGTTAAATATCTCAAGCAGCAAAAACAGAAAATGGCACAAAGCCAATTAAAAGTATATAAAATAAGCTTGTGAGGAATATGAACATAAGGGGAGAGCTCACCAATGTCCGAGATCCTGAAAGACACCAAGTGACAGCGAGAAGGCCAGGATGGACAAGCTCAGTAAATGAAAACTAATTGTGAAGTCTGGAGGATTAGATAGATATGTGAAGATCGTAGAGGATATCACACAGCTAATCATGTACAGTAATCTGCTGGCAACAGTTTTGGTTATGTTTCATGTAATAAGTTCCTGATACTCAGAGATCAATAGTTATTCCACTGATATAAAGATAACTAATCTGGGAAAACTAAAAGGGATAGATAGGCATTGATGGATGTCTAATAGTCTACTCATGAGAACATCTGGAAAAGTAAGGCAGATGAAAATTATTCTCTTCAAAGGATTCATTCCTTGGAGGTGAATATTGTGAATAAAAATGTCTCTCAAAATTCTAGTTTGAAATGAAATGTGACCATTTTAAAATGTGAACATTTGATTTCAAAGTCTAAAAACATTTATGTGAATTCACCTGCCTCAAAAATGGCACTGGGTTCTTAAGTTTCTTTCTCTTTTCTTCATGTTTGTCAGACACGGAAACTGTCCAAAATGGAAAGGCAGCGCTTCAGTGAGGAGGTAGAGATGCTGAAGGGACTCCAACACCCTAACATTGTCCGTTTCTATGACTCATGGAAGTCTTCCATCAAAGGACAAGTCTGCATTGTACTGGTGACAGAACTCATGACCTCGGGGACCCTCAAAACGTGAGTACAGAATAGATTGGATGGGAATGGGTGGCTAGGATGAAAAGCAGCCTTGAAGAGACTATGTTGGGTGTTGTTGTTTTTTCAGGAAAGGGCATTTTTTAGCCCATCTCCTGTCTTAAAGGACAGGTCTACAAGCCACACAGAGCATCATTGTGCAGCAAAATATTAATAACATTGCCGTTTCTCTAGAAAACATTTCAAAGATTGTCTGATACTTTCATCTTTACTCTGAAGAAAAATGTCTGAACTAAGGTCTTCAGATTTCCTGCATGTTTTCTTTTAATTGCTAACCAACAAACCATTTGCCCAAATGCTAATTGCTTGCAAAGACAGTGCTTGCAATAAATCAGTGTGGGAATGTGATTCAAATGAGGACCACTGTGCTACATTGTAGGACAATGAAAGAAAGTTTTTCTTTCAAAGATAATTGGCCACATTAAGGTGAATTCCTTCAGACTACAAATGAGTTTGAATTTGCAATTCATATAGTTTCGAATAACCAGTTCTGGAGGTATATCTGAACCAAAGATTGATGCACTGTATTTCAGATGATTGTCATCTTCCACCAAGGGCGCAACTTTGGGAGGGATGCACATGGAGCAGGAAGGAAAGAAGGAGACAGCCAGATAGCCAGATAGATTACTTTGATCAACTCTGATCATCAGTGGGATGATAGATATTGTGGTCAGGGTATCCTCACATTCAGTCTCATTGGGTTGTTTTTTTAGGGTCCTTTCATGAACTATATGGCGTTCATTCATTCATTCATATTTATTTGCTGCCCATCTCATAAATGACTCTGGGCAGCTTACACAATTAAAAGCATTAAAATAATAAAAGAGAAATATTTCTAAAACAATGAAATTGGAAATTTTATCTATGTTTATTTTTATTCTTTCACAGAATTTCAGAAAACTCAACGATAAGGAAACTTCATTTTATTTCCTTTTCTTTTAATTTTCTATTAAACTTCTAACCATCAGCATATGGTTATATCACTGAGTAGGCATTATGGGGTTGTTTGGGAACATTGTTTTGGGAGCTCTTACCTCATCAATACTTTTGGTATTTTGAAAACATCCAGGTTCTGCCTATCGTGGCCCTCAGACGATGATGATGAAGTGGCTCTGAACCAGATCGATTTCTCTTTTTCTTTGTAGATATTTGAAGCGATTCAAGGAGATGAAGATGAAAGTTCTTCAGAGATGGAGCAGACAGATTCTTCGAGGACTCCATTTTCTACACACACGATCCCCTCCAATCATCCATCGGGACCTGAAATGTGATAATGTTTTTATTACAGGACCTACTGGCTCAGTTAAAATTGGAGATCTTGGTCTGGCCACACTCAAGCGTGCTTCATTTGCCAAGAGTGTCATAGGTACTTGATGGGTAAAGTGTGTAGCAGAATATATTGATTTGACTTTATGTATCCATTCATCTTTAAAACTATATTCAGTAACAGTAATTATTAGGATTACCCTTCTAAGCTATTTGGATCTATTTGCTTCCAAAATTTGGAAATAAACATGAGTTAATAATAGTATTAAAAGACAGAAATTTGCTGGAACTGAGAGCTTATGCATACTGAGAGCTTATGTACTGGAGACAAATTCCTTGTGTGTCCAATTACACTTGGCCAATAAAGAATTCTATTCTGTCCTCTCCTGTCAAGTCCTATTCTATTCTGAACTTCCTATGGAAGATACAATCTTTTAAGCAAAACCTCATGGGACAGAATTGATACTTTAAGTATTTCTTGATTCTCAGAAGCCTGCTTGGATAATGTATTACTGTTGCCCTTGAGCTAAGTGGGTCATTTATAGCCTTTATATGGGTAGTCCTTGACTTACAACAGTTCATTTAGTGACCATTCAGAGTTACAACAGCACTGAAAAAAAGAGACTTATGACCATTTCCCACACTTATTGCTATTGCAGCATCCCCATGGTCACGTGATCATAATTCGGACTCTTGGCAACTGATTCTTATTTATGACAGTTGCAGTGTCCAGGGGTCATGTGATCATCTTTTGTGACCTTCTGACAAACAAAATCAATGGGGAAGCCGGATTCACTTAACAACCATGTTATTAACTTAACAACTGCAGTGATTCACTTAACAAATGTCTCAATAAGCTCGTAAAATGGGACAAAACTCACTTAACCAATGTCTCACATAGCAACAGAAATTTTGGGCTCAATGGTGGTCGTAAGTCAAGAATTACCTGTATATCTCATGGTTAAATGGGAATGGTTTCGCCCAGGGCCTGTTTAAAAACGTTGTAGATCTGGGCATTATTGTCTGAGTATGTTAACTGGAGATGGTTTAAAGATTTTTGAAATTTCAGAAGTCCTGGATACTGCCATGATTTCACTTAAGGGACTGAGTCTCAGGTAAATACTTTCTTTCCTTTTCCAGGAACCCCTGAATTCATGGCTCCAGAGATGTATGAAGAAAAATATGATGAAGCAGTGGATGTTTATGCCTTTGGCATGTGCATGCTTGAAATGGCAACCTCAGAATACCCCTATTCAGAATGCCAGAATGCAGCTCAGATCTATCGTAAGGTTACTTCGGTAAGAGTACAACCTCCACCTTCTCTCATTTCTCTGCATTCTTGGCTCTATCTCTTGCAGTATCCTTATGCATTGGAAAGGGGGAAAGGAACTTTCCCATGATTACTTTCTAAGGAATCTGAGTTATAGTGCAATTTTGGATTTAGAATAACATTTTGCTAATTAGGACCAGTCAAGAGCAGCTATGGCAATAAAATTGGGTTGAATTTAAGAGAAGTGCAACTCTCTACTACTCCTAGCTTCTGGCCAAATGCTTTTCTTGTAACATCACGAAACTTTAAAAATGTGTTTAATCTGGTACAGAACCATCATTTTCATGTTCAAAATGCATTTGACAAGCTTCCAATGTGAGATGGGGGGGTGTTTTTTCATCCCAATTCTTTGTTTCATATTAATTTGAGATTTAAATTGGTAAAAAGAGATGATAAATGAGAATCCAGCCTATTTGGAGACATTCATATTTTAGATAGAAGTCTTGTTCCAATTGGCCAGAGTCAGAGTTAATTTAGTCTATTTTATTGTATCCCATTTTGGATATTATTTTTACTCTAATGGAAAATTGATTGAAAACTGAAATAAGTTCCAGACATCCAGATCAGTTTAAGGTGTTGGCCCAGGTAAATAGAATGTTTTACAGAAAAAAGCTAACCTTTTTTCGCTATAGCAGGAAAGGCAAGCAAGATTCATCGTCATAAGAGGAAAAGGGATTGAATGCCTATATTATTCTCCTTTCTACTCCCCCCCCCCTCCAAATTGATCCTCTTTCTTATTTCTCAAAACAGGGTATGAAACCAAACAGTTTTTACAAGGTGAAAGTGCCTGAACTAAAGGAGATAATTGAGGGTTGTATCCGAATGAACAAAAATGAAAGGTAGGGAACAGCATAGCTACTTATGTGATTATGCTAAATCAATGAATATTGTTGATGTTTTGTGGTTTGTACATGCATGTCTGCCTATGGGTGCAAAAGTGCATATTGCATCCCTTTTAAAAATTCCATAATATCTGGTAAAGTAATCTGAGTAGATATGGATAGAAACTATGGGTAGACCTAGGTAAGGAATGGATAGAAAAAATTCACTGCCTATTTAAAATATAGTAGTCCTCAAATTACAACCATTTGTTTAGTGACCATTTGAAGTTACAACAACATTGAAAAATAGTTGTAAGTGTGGGAAAAAAATCATACTTAGAATTGTTACAGCGTCCCCATGGTCACGTGATCAAAATTTGAGCACTTGGCAACTGGCATGCATTTATGACGGTTGCAGGATCCCAGGGTTACTTGATCATTTTTTGCAATCTGACAAACAAAGTCAATGGGGAAGCCAGGTTCACTTAACAATCATGTTATTAACAACGGCAGTGAATCACTTAATATCTGGGGCAAAAAAGATTGCAAAATGGGGCAAAATTCATTTAACAATTGTCTTGCTTAGCAATAGAAATTTTGTAGTTATAGTTGTAAGTCAAGAACTACTTGTATTCTTGTTTTAGAAATCACTTAGAATCTTAGCAGAACCTGACAGCCAAACAGAGATTTTTTTTTTTTAATTCTTCTAGGTAGACAACTCAATGCAAAGATTCAAAATAGCACATGGTTCAAATGCATTGCAATTTGAGATATGCCTATTGTCAGGGTGGACATAAAATACTGAATCACCAATTAAAATACTCTCAGCCTAAATCTCAAATTCCCTTGGAATTTGAGACCTTCAGACTCTTAATGCTACTTCAGGGACTACCTGTCCAAACTGCAGGAGACAGTAGTGTTATGGAGACAGTTAGATAGTAGGATGGATTGGTCTGCTTTCTGCAGCCCCAAACAACAGTTTCAGACATTCACAACTGGCTGAATAATGAGGAGGCTATCTAACAAAAAAGGGGCTATATGGGTAATAGCTTCCTTTCTTTTCCTTCCGCCAAGTTAAATCTGATACTGAACTTTATGCTCTGAACTTTATATTCTGCTGTTTTTCTATGCTGCTTATAACTGGAGGTTTTAAGTTTGTGTAGCTAAAGGCATGGAACAGATTGATGTTCATATACTTATGAAGATCCTGGCCCGGGTACCTCTTTTAAGTAATATTGAAATAACAATCTGTGAATTCAAACTTACTTTCTGTTACCTTCATTTTGCAGAATAGTTTAAATTCAACTTGCTTCCCTATCTTCCCTGCAGATATACTATCCAGGATCTTCTGGACCACTCCTTCTTCCATGAGGATACGGGAGTCCATGTTGAACTGGCTGAAGAGGATGATGGTATTAAGACCACTTTGAAGCTTTGGCTACGGATGGATGACACTAAAAAACTGCATGGGAAGTACAAGGACAACAATGCCTTGGAGTTTTACTTCGAGTTATATAAGGATGTGGCTGAGGAAGTTGCCCAAGAAATGGTATATCTTACTGTCATTCATTTCTCTACTATTTCTCCAAATCTTTCCAGGTTAGAATGTTTTATAAATAAGAGATTTAAAGTAGAGCCACCTCTGTCTTTGATTTTTCTAACTGCACTTTGTATCAGCATGTCCTAAGACTGGCACATCTTTTAAGGGAAGTTGCTGTACATTGTGATGTTAGTATCACATCCTAACATATGAATAATCATTATTTATTCAAATGTGTATTTTAAAATCACAGTAGTTTCACACAATCATTTCTGTCACATTGCAGTCTGCGTCATGAAAATTATCACAGTTGAGATCTACTCTTTATCTGTTCCCTTACAATGTCACATTGGATGCAAATTTTTCTGCAAATGTCCATATAAGCCTAACTTGCTGTCTGTTAATAGCTCAGGAATTGCTCACACTGCCAAAGATTTGTGTGTGTAAATATATCTAATCACAAACCTACCTCATACTCACCTGCAATTTAATTACACATTGATTATAAACCTACAATTTAATTGTACAATAGAGCCTGCTCTGAGGACAGTACTGCAGATGGCTGGCAAGATGTATGGCCATGACTGACTGTCCTTTTTTTTTTCTATCTTTCTGCTCTGCTCTCCTTCTTACTCCATCTCACTGACCCATCATGCAGGTGGTTTTAGGCTTTGTGTGTGAGGCAGACTACAAGCCAGTGGCCAAAGCTGTGCGAGAGCGAGTTCTTGCTATCAAGCGCCAGCGTGAGAAGACCAAACAAGCTCAGGAACAGCAGAAGCGTCAGGAGCAATCTCTGGCAATGACTCCTGATATCCTGCATTTGCTGGACCTGGATTCCCCCTCGCCTCTCAGTCCTATCCAGACCTCAACCCCCACTACACCGGGGTCCGCTGATTCTGCCCTTGGATCAACTTTTCCCCCAGAGCCAGAAGAGCCAGAGGTTGATCAGCACCAGCCATTCCAGTATCATCCTAATTATTCCTCTACCACATGTGAGCACACTCATTTTGTTATCTCTCTCTTCAACCAATGACTATATAACCAATGCCCTGCAGCATAATGGACCACAGTTTCTATAATTCCCCGACAGAGAAGCATTTGAAATATGACTTGGCTGTGCAATACAGCATTCTGAAAACCTCAGCTTGCAACTTTTAAGTATTGCTCTCAGTTTTTGCTGAGATTTTTTGCTCTCTGTTTGTCCTTGAGGGGGTCTGACATTTTCAAAGAAGCTGGGCAAAATTGGCAGTCAACTGGAAAACGTAAGAGGCCACCAGATTAGATGCAGTCAGATCTTATTTTATCTCTCTTCTTTTCCCTCCACAGCTGATTGTGAAACTGATGGATACTTAAGTTCTTCTGGATTTGTGGAGTTGCCTGACAAGCTGCAGAGTCATTCTAGCCCAGTAACTGTTTTGGAACATTCCTTTGCTTCGGTGAGTGGAAATTCTGTCTCTGGCATACACAGCTGCATTGGGTGAGGCTGATGCATATGGCTTAGACATGGAGAGAAGGTGAACTGGCTTGGCACTGCAACTTTCCTTTCCCTTTTTATACCCACAGACCATTGCTGTGAGCCTGGATCCTGTCTCCATCAGTGACATCTCTTCCCCTGTCGACAGGTAGGAAAGTTTCAGGTTAGATGCTATGGGCTATGACTCAGAATATAGAGTGAACAAAATCTTATTGCTTGCTTTCTTTTCTGAACCAAACCATACACTGTACAGAGATAAATAAAGCTGAATTCCCTAGAATAAAGATAATCTCTATAGGGATTACTCAGGAAGATGTGCTTTTTAAACTTGTGTTATATATTGGACTTTCCTCCTCTAGTGCTTGTCTTCACAATAGCCCTACTTACAGTTAATTTCTAAATAACTTAGAACATCATCCCCACAGGGATAACGTTAGCCCACCCTTTGACAGTCTTTTGCAAGGCTCTGAAGACCTGGTGAATGTGGGGTACCCAGAGTAGGATGGAGTCCATCAAGTGGTTTATTTAATTGACTGGTTGTTGCCAGGAGGGTGGGGGTTTATTGCTTCGTGTAGTTTTTATATTGGGTTTTTATCCTTGTAAACCACCCAGAGTCACTGAGAGTGAGTTGGGCAGGCTTATAAATGTTCTTAAATAAATACATTAAATAACTTCCAATGTACCATGATTCAACAACTTTGCTTTTGGCATCTGGGGATGCCAAATATATATTGGGCTGTATGGAGCACCTTCTGATAACCATTACTGAGCCCAAGCTAAACCAACAATAGAACTCTGGTGCTTGCTCTCTCTATTTGAAGTTTACCAGTTATTGATTTTATTTCCCCAATCCAAATAATCAGTGCTATCTGAAACAAAAAGAAAAGTAAAAAAGGTATTTGGTTCACCATGGGGCTCAATCGACCTAAATCCAGAATACACAACAAACAACAAAGCTATTCTCAAAGGCTTCCCCCAAATTGTTGCTAAATAGAGAAAAAAAGAGAGAGGTTTAAGGAACATGACAGGTAGATTCTCCTAAGAGAAAGAAAATGCTCACATTCACAGAATGACTTCATTAGAATTTCATTTTGGTCAAAACAAAGTTTGGTGAAGATAATTTGTTAAGGGTAGCAAGGAATTACAAACATAGATTGAATATATATAGCAGAAGAGATGTGGTGAAATTATCATTGATGGGAGTACATTTGAATCTTGTGGCAATATCCCAGACCCCTTTCTCTGCATATAGTCAGTGTGGAAAGGATGGAATGGACAAGAAGGTATATATTCTCTCTGAGCAGAAATTAAGACCATTTCTTGAAAGCCTCAATTTTGCCTGAAACAAGAAATTTAGAAAGGACAGGAAGTGAGATGAATTTTATGATACATCCAAACTGATCACATTTCTAATTTGTTTCGCCCTCCTCCTCCTCATCTGGAAATAGTTACACATCTGATGTGGCATCTGGCTTGAGTGATGGCTATGAGGGTCTCTCTGCAAGTGAGGACAGATCAAAGTCCCTTGCCAAGCGAGGCTCTGGAAGGCTGCTGCGCCGTCGTGCTCGATCTCGTCTGCGCATTACCAATGTGAGTGCTATCACTTGCAACAGCCTTATGTTTTAATAATGATAGTAATTAACAGAAAATGGTAGAAGAAGGATTTATGTAGATAAAGCTGTACTAAGATTGTGAGATGATATTAAAAGTGGAAAAAATAAAACGTAGGCCTGGAAAATTATAATCATAAACAAAATAACTCCAGAAAGTTGCCTTTTTTACTCATTTGTCAGAAAAAAAGAACAAAATGACTAATTAAAACATCTCCAAGGTCCCTTCCAACTTTATTATTATTATAATTATAACAACATATAATACAAATCATCTGTAGATTTATTCTTTCTGTGTTGTAGAACCCACTTGGCTATCCCTCATACACAAAAAGTCCAGTATTTAATTTATGGGACTATAACTGTTAAAATCAACTTAATAAGGAAAATAGATCTATAACTAGAACATATTTTCCAGGATTAAGAAAGATTGTACTGTTACCATTATTGAAACTGGGGAATGGTATTCTATTTAAACAGGCTTCAAAATATAATTACCCTAAGATATAAAAGCCATAGTATATATTACATGTACATCATACATACATCATACACATAAACCTGTATACAGACACAGAAAAACATGCATAGGTAATACATTCATCCGGACAACTGTCAGAACCAGGAACCTTCCTGGGCTTCTTAAATGTAATTGTAGTCATAAGGTCTTGAAGTGAGAGTACAGTGAGGTTCATGATCTAGCCCAAATACAGGTAGTCCTCAACTTACAACAATTCATTTAATGATTGTTTGAAGTTAGAATGGCACTGAAAAAACATATGACCATTTTTCATACACCCCTGTGGTCATGTGATTTACATTTGGATGCTTGGTAACTGGCTCATATTTATGATGGTTGCAGAGTCATGTGATTCCCTTTTGCAACCTTCTGACAAGCAAAATCAATAGGAAACCTAGATTCACTTAACTGTGTTACTAACTGAACAATTTCATTGATTCACTTAACGAATGTGGCAAGAAAAGTTGTAAAATGGGGCAAAACTCACTTAACAAATTTCTTACTTAGCAACAGAAATTTTGGGTTCAATTGTTGTAGTAAGCCAAGGACTACCTGTATAGCTGTGATAGTCTTGCATACTAGAACAAAAACTTTCTCATTATTTGTTCATGAGAATTATATTCAGTGCCTATATGTCATATTAACTCCTGCACTAGTCCCTGCAATTTCCTTGGCAAGATTTCAGAAGTTGTTTGCCACTGTCTGCTTCCTAGGACTGAGAGAGAATAACCATTCCAAGGTCACCCAGCTGGCTTTGGGCCTAAGGCAGGGATAGAACTCACATTTTCTGGTTTCTAACTTAGTGCCTTAATCATTACTCCAAGCTGGGTCTTTATGAGAATTTGGAACCAGGCAATTTGGGGTAAAATTTAATTATGTCCAGTGCTTTTTTTCTATTAAAAAAAAAAAAGGTGCCGCAACTCACACACGTCATACAACCTGCCTTGCCTACTCTACAAGGTTCCATCCAAAAAAGGTGCCAAAACTCCGTTCTGGGCATTCTGTGAGAAAAAAATGTCTAGCAGATCTAGAACCAGGGTACATTGTCTTAAATCATGAAGAGAGGACACAGTATTAAGATGCATAATTTGTTTGTGGCCTTTCCCCATTACTATGTTGATTTGCTACCCAGCAATTCTAGAGCCAGATTAACCACCGTGACATTTGCTGTCTTCTTGCTGATTCTTGCATTTCTCTCCAAGGCAATGAGTGGTAAAGCCTCATAGATTTAATATAACTTGAGTTCCACATGGATGGTATCAGAATAACACTAATACCACTAAGAATGACTTACGGCCATCTTACTCATTCATGGCCTGAGGATACAAACATGGTAGAAAAAGGAGGTTGTCACATTTAGGTTCAAATGGAAAAGATCAAAGTGACTTACCAGCCTTATCTTCCTTTAGCCAGTATCTTCATCAAGTACAGTGTAATAAGAATTAGATTTCAGAAACGAATAGATAAGCAGTTGTAGTTCATTCCTTGTACTATATGTTTACAGATAGACTTTGGTAGACATTTGCCTGGATTTCTTGGTTACATAACTATATATATATATTTCAAGTGTAAGTGAAAAACATAATTTGATCAAATGATATTTACAATTAGGCAGCAAGGAAATTAAATACTGATTAAGGTAAGATATAAAGCTATACTTAATATTTAGTTTTGCATCAAATATGGGAATGTGGAAAATGTTAAAAACAATCACCATCTAATATTTTAGTGAGTAACATATATTTTCTCTTATTATTCCTTTCACCTCTCAACTTCTTTTCCATATAATAGAGAATTATTTGTTTAATAAATACCTGAAAGTCTGCATTTAGGGTCAAACTGGCTTAGCCCTGTAAACTGATTTTTTTAAAAAAACAAACAAACAGTAATTTGTGGAAGTGAGTTGAATTGAAGTGTAATGCACACTATCAATAGAGGAAATATTTAATATAACATAAATATTATGTATTTATGTTCCTGCTGTCCTGGTTAGAATCTCCCTCTCTCTTCTAACATATACATATAAAAACTATTTTGCAATACAAGGGACAGAAATGTGTAAATAACAGAAAAAACAAGTTTTCTACAATTATTTTATTTGAAATGAAAATCTAAATATCTCCTTTTAGAATTGCTATTGTAAGATTTGATCATCCAGTAAATTACCTTTTAATTATTAAATGTTTACCCTGCCTTTATTACTTTATAAGTAATTCAAGGTGGCAAACATACCTAATATTCCTTCCTCTATTTTCCCCACAACAATAACCTTGTGAGATGGGTTGAACTGGGAGAGAGTGATTGGCCGAAAGTCACCCAGCTAGCTGAGTTGCCTAAGATGGGACTACAAGTCAGGCTCCTAGTTTCTAGGCCATTACACAGTTACTGACCATTACACCCTACTGACTCCTACTTTCTTATTTGAAAGCCCTCCAAATATTCTCATTATAGCTTCAGTTAGGCAGGTAGCTCTGGATTTTCCCATTTATTAATTCAGCAAATTGGCCTGAGGGATCAGTACAGACTACTTTAACTACTTATTTTTGTCTGACCTTCAGACTTTCAGAGGGTCTTTTATATTAAAGTAACCCTTGGGGAGGGTTACTTTTTGTAAGTAGCATATAGAAACAATCTGTTCAGAGGAATTTAGCATTTTTATGCAGTGGCATTTCCATAATTTATAAATCTTTTATGTATATATGTTTAAAATTTTTACCAATCATATAAATATCATATTCAGAATATTACTGTAGAGACTTTTCTTAGTCATAATAACAAAATTATGTAAATTGAATGGCATGTATCAGGCTTCTGCCAATCCACTTTGTTGTAACATTCTAAAATATACCAGCAGAAATACATGTAAATGTATGCAGGAAAAAAACCTTTTTATATGATTAACGTGTTGGCAGGAAAAATTCCTCTCCAAGTTACCCATGTTCTAACAAGTAGTGGAAGGGGAAGGGAAGAAAAAGGCATGCAGTTTCTACCTTTCCACCTTGCAAAGTTTTAAGCCCATCAAGAAGACTGGATTTCCTATCTGGCCACACTGGGTTTGTGTGTGTGTCTGTGTCTCTGTGTGTGTTGCTTGCACATGCTACAGTAGCAGAAACCCTAACACTAATCCCCCCAATTTCTGTAGATGCCAAATCAGAATGATCAAATAGTTGAGTGTCAACTACAAACATATAATAACAAGATGGTCACCTTCAAATTTGACCTGGATGGAGACAATCCTGAGGAAATCTCAGCTGTCATGGTATGGATGTTGATTTCTTTTATTCACATTATCTATACCATTAATAGGAACTGGGGGCATGATGTGACCTCCTTAATTCTGGTTTGACTATGTTTCTGGCTTTCCAGGTTGCCAAGGAATTTATCCTGAAATCTGAACAGGAACGATTCATCCAGGGAATTCATGATATTATCCAGCGTGTAGAAGCACTCCTCCAGAAGGATAAGTTGAACAAAGAACAGGGTCCTCTGGGCAAACCTGATGTGCAATGTATATCTCCTACTTCAGCTACTAATGCTCTCTCAGTGAGTTTCAGGCCTCTGCTGGTTGAGAATTAGGATAGAAAATATATATTTAGCATCCAGAAATGCTTTGCTTATTTTTGTTATTTTCCAAATGAGCAGCAGCTACATCTCCTCATCTTTTTAATCAGCTGAGCACAGTAACAGATCTTCAGAGATAAGCCATCTTTCCTTTGGCTTGTCCCTCACTCATTCTAAAATATCTTAAAATGCTGAGGCCTCTTTCATGAAGGTACTTTGTTACATAGAAAAGTTCTATAATTCAGATTTGTCTGGAAACTGAATAAGGGTCTTTTTTCATTAATCACAAATCATAATAGCTAAGAAGGACAGAGCATTCTTCACATAGTCAGAGAGGCCTCATTTCATTATCTATTAAATATATTTTTTTTTATCTTTTTCCTATTTTCTTTTAGGCTGAGTTGCCACTGCAAGACCTCTCGTGTTCCATCTCTTCATCCTCATCTCTTACTGGTAATATAATACAACATTTGCTCAACCCAGATTACTTTTCACTTACCGGTACTATCTGAAAAGCTATTTCATTTACTGGATCTGATCTATCAGATACTGAAACTTAACAGGCAATAGGAGAAGAAATAGGACTGAAGTCCTTCTCTGAGAATTTAACCCAAAATAATATTACTCCTACTACTCTTTGTTATTTATAAGAATGAAAGATAAATCTTTCCAAAATTTAACAGTCAGCTATTGATACGTTCAGAGAATTACAGTTCCCCCTAGGATTCTATTACTTTCAAACAAGTTCAGGAATGCAGGAGACAGATTTCTGGGGAATTAACAAAATAATGTTTTTTCATATGCTGTCAATCTTTTTTTTATTATATTGCTGAAACAAAGAATACTTGGAATAAATGATAGTATTTTTTATACAGAAGCACTATAAATGCCATTCAATTTGGGTACACAAAATATATTTGTAAACTCAGAATTATTTAATTCTAAGTGTATAACTTTTACATTAGGCTGAAATTGCCAACTCTCATGGTTTTAATAAAAATTGAAACAGAGTTTTTCTGCTTTCTGCTGCTTTACAATATAAATGTGTGTCAAAAGACAAGAAAAGAGGACATCATGATTGAATGCTATACCTTATCAAAAATAATATGAATATGTTAGCAAACCTAAAAGTTAGAAATGATGCAAGACTCAGCCTTAAAGGATATTCATTAAGGGATACTAATCTGTAGTAAAGGATCTAAATACATATCCTAAGTATTCAACATTTTACAGATTTTGGTTGCCTTAGTTCAGGACAGCCTGTGTCATCACCTATCCATACTTCAGTGGTGGATGCAATTTCTGAGAATGAGCCCTTTAGCCCCACCGTTCCCCCATCAGCTACCCAAAACGTTGGGCAACCACTGCTCTCAACTACATCTGCAGGTAAAACTGTGGTTACTTCTAATTATAAAATACTATTTAAGTAGATAGATTCAGGGAAGTTAACCAGGCTTGCTATCTTGAAGGATCTTTATCCAGTGGTGCAAAATGCCGGACACTGGCTAGATATCTAAGATGATAGTGATGATGGCAACTATTATTTCCTGCCTTTATGTTGAACCACCCAAGGTAGTGTATATATATCACCCCTTCCTACTTTCCCAACAACAACCCTGTGAGTGGATTGAGCTGAGAAAAAGTTACTGAATCAAAGTATATAGATAATATAAGATAATTCAACAATAAAGGAATAATCTGGAGGAGTCTAATATCCTACATGAACCAGACTTTTAAAAAAAACAGAAGGAAAGAAACTTTACTTTAGCTTTTCTGAATTGGAAAAATGTATAAATGGTTTACTTATTTGTGATCTGGGCAGGGGTAAGGCTAATCCCAGTAATGTGGGAAAAATCTGAATGAATTATATACCACAATACATTATCTCTTCCACTCTTATCTTATACTATTCTCTTAGTCCCCTATTTCTTTTAAAAATATTTTAAACCTTTTGAAATAAAAAGTGTTATCCAAAATCAATACATAAGCTGCCATGCCAAATTCATCACATACTTTATGTTCCCATGGTGCAAAATATGGACATTGATGGAAAAAACTGGGCAAAAGATCCACTTAATATTAATTAAAAAATAAAGCTGATTGGTGATAGGAAAGAACAAAATAAACTGGGCCCATTTGCTCTGCAAACTTGGAGGAAGCTTTCTGCAATGATGCATAACCAGTGAGATACAGCTGATTTCCCTTCCTTTGCTTCTAGGACAACTGACCTGACAACTTGCCTTTTTCCTTACAGGTGTCACCAGTATACCTGCACAGACCTGGCCAACTTACCATATATATCCAGGGACTCCTACAACACCCTCTTACCTTGTCCCCATCCCTCAACCAATTTCACCACCAAATTCTGTTCTCCCCACATTACCCCCAACCACTTCCATTGCCCCATCCATTGGAACTGCTGTGCATGCACCACCTATCCCCATGTGGCCTCCCTCTACTTCCCCATTGTTCTCCCTTGCCAATGTCTTCTCTTTGGCTATGATGAGTATGGCCCAATCACTTCTACCAGCAGTATCAGTAGGGACTGCCCAGACAGGGCCTCTCTATACCTCTCCAGTCCCACAGCCACCAGTTCTGTGTCCACCAACCCCAACTACTGTACGTTTTATCTATCCTGAGCTGGTGTCTTCCCCCAAACCAGTTCACTTAGCCAATGGGATGTTGGGGCCAGTGGTGTCTCCAGGCTTTAAGCCATCTCCAGTCACCTCAGTTGCTGGGAATTCTGAAAACAATCCAGTAAGTCTTTTGAATCAAGTATCTTGTGTGACTATAGATGAGGGAAAACAAAACATTGTATCCTCATGCCTCAGTTCTAAGGTACTGTTGAAATGTATTACTTAATTATGATGGGTGAACATAAATGGGGAAATTGCTACATGGAATTTTGTTCATTTTAGGGAATAGTGAATGCTTGTATTATATTTAGTCATCAAAAACTAGCAATTTTAACAATGGGCCTGGGGATTTTTTATTATAATAGAGGAACAGTCCTTGGACGCTTTACCTCAGCTCCATAGGAACCTCAGTTAAACACTGATTGAGAATTCCTAATTGTAGCAACTTCTCCATATTAGGGTCAGATGTACATTATTTTAGCACTGCCTTAATACCAGGTTAATCCTCTGATTTAATGAATTATCAATGGATAACACAAACATCTCATGAAGAAACAAACTGGAGTTCCACTGCATAGTGAATGGACCAAAAATAGAAAGTTTTCTGCTGATTTATTTCCCTATCTCCAAAGGTAACTCCTGTTTCTTCCTGGTCTGGATCACAATTAACCATATCAGATCTATCTACCTCCAATGGTTCCTCTGCTGAACACACAACCATCAGTGAAGGTAAGAAGTGTTTCAGAAGAATTGGAGCAGGAAATCTGGAGCCCTCTACAGGTTGCTATCGTGAAAAGTCATGACTCAGAACAGCATCCATAGTGGATAGCTCAAAATCAGCACAGTGCCAAATGTGATGATGCATACATGTTCAAAAGGGGCAAGGTTTGCATCAGAATGCTACATCTGCCATCTTGCAAATTTTGACATGCCACAATAGTCTACAAATATTGCTATGAGCGAGGTTTACATTGTTCTTAGATATAAGACAGTACCATCCAACAGTTGCAAATTGTGCAAAATCACTTCACATGCTTGATTGCATCCATTTTGTTGATGTAGTTAAGTGACCTTAATGGGTAGTCTGACTGGTAAATATTGGTCATCGCAGGCTGCAAGATAGTCCTTCCAGTCCCTGAGAAGCCTTCCCTGGTGCCTTTCTCTTCCAGCATCACTTGACTCAGTGGCTAGTTTTTGTGTTGCTGCAGGTGGCATAAGGCTGCCGCTGTACTCAGCAGACTTGTGGAATGGTGGAAAAGTTCTGAAACCATACTTTCCTGCTTTTCTGCTCTCCCAGGCATGGTACAAAGAGAGAGAGAAGAGGACCTGAGCTAGCCTTTTCACTTTCATTTTGATTTTGTTTGACACCACATCTGAGCTCTAAATGTATCCCTCTCACTGAAACCTTGATTGTCTTACTTTAAAGGGAAGGTTTACCACTCTTATGGAAGCATGTATATAAGCACTGTATAAGCCGTGGCCTTTCACCAGCTTTCAAAATGAGCCACAGCCAGGGCATCAATGAAATGAAATGGGAGGCAAAGGTTCCAACTCTTATTTTATTTGCTTGGCTCTCTTTTACTTGTTTGGGGCCATGGATTTCATGGAACTATGGAATCTACAGTATGACCATAACAAAGTCTTTCTTTCCATGGGTAACTTGTTCCTTTTGATACTTCATACAAGGAGACATACTGTGAGCCTCTCCACATCCAACACGGGAGAAGAATTTGCATAGGTTGTCAAGTGACCTTAAGTAGCATTGCTTGGGCTTCAAGATATTATTTGAACAGTGGCTGGTAACTATAACATCTAGAGGAGAAGTCTAAGAGTGTATGTTCACATATCTTAAAGTTGCCAACTTTGAAAAATACTGCTCTACAGGAAGATTTGCCTACAGCTCTTCCTCATACTTTGTTTCTCTTTACCAGGAGACCCCAAGCCACAAATCCTGGGGCGTTTCCAGGTGACACCCACACGGAATATCCCATCAGAATCTTCCCACAAAGGCAATGGACCTGACATCTCAAGTACTTCTGAATCTGATAGTGGATCTCCTGGTGAAACACCTGTGCAGGAAGGCGAGGAGGGCACCACTCCTGTGGCAGAGGGAGAGGGGGAAGGAGAGACTACACATAGCAACATCGTTTGGATGAATTATATACACAGCCCTTCCTACCCCAGTAGTGATGATTCAGACAGCACAGAAGAAGATGATGATGATGTCTGGGTTGAACTACAAGCCTTGCGCCAGAAGTGAGTAGTTTTGATACTACTTGGCAGTAAATAATTTTTTTCCCTACTCCATTCAGTAGTATCCCCTTTCATTCTGTCCTTCTCTCTCAGGCATCTCTCTGAAGTGGAAAAGCTCCAGGCCCAGCAGAAACAGGAAATAGAGGAGCTTTATGCCCGCCTTGGCAAGGTGCCACCTGCTGGAATTGTATCACCTGCCACGATACTTTCTAGTCGCCAACGCCGCCTCTCTAAGGGAAGCTTCAATCCCTTGAGGCGCAGCAGCCTACAGCGCCCAGACACAGCGCAGCCCCAAGGTAAGTCTTTTTTTTTATAACAAGTTTGTATTGGTTTTCCAGTTTTATATTTAAGTATTTAGAAAGCAGCATGGTGATTGGGTAATCAATAGTACAATAACAAAATCTTTAGTACATATCTCAGGTTACATCGTCAAAAAATTCCTTCTCTATTTCCCTTAACATTTACTGTATCATATTTAAGCTGGTAAATTTGTAATTATAACAAGCTCAGTTAAAACATTTATCAGTATATTTATGCTTATACGTATTCATGTCCTGTGTTTAAATTTTACCTAATTTTTAGTTTTTAATTACAGTATTCCAATTTAATCTTTAATATCCATAGTATTTAGATTTCGGGTAACCCAAATTTCCTTTATTTCACTACATAAAAATTATAATATCTAAATTACACCTATTACTGACTTAACTATATTCTTATTTTATTTCACAGACATTTTCTATTTCTCATCCTAGTACATCACCACTTACTAACGGAATATCCTTTATTGTCTCAGATACATTTTCTATGTTATCCAGGCTAAATAATAGTTCAAAGCTATTTCCTAATAGTTAATTTTCATTTCCCGTATAAATCTAAATCCTCAATATTAGGCCAATTAATCCCTTACCATTTTTATCATTTTCCAACAATAGTTAAATCTAATAATCATATTTCCTTTCATCTCAAAATCTCCCTTTCGCCCATTAGTTCAGACTTTAGGATCCTCTCTAATAAGTCAAAAGACCCCATTTTTTAAAATCTAACTCTAGCGTTCTTTTTATACCACCCAAGCTTCCATATCAATGCCTTTAGATCAGGGGTGTCAAACTCAATTTCATTGAGGGCCGCATCAGCATTGCGGTTGCCCTTGGGGGACTGGGTGGGTGTGGCCAGGGTGAGTGCGACCTACTAGGTGGGTGTGGATGGAGTGGGTGTGGCCTACTGGGTGGCGTGGCCAGCTCTACATCGTTCACGTCAAGGGGGCCTGTGGGGGCCTGGGCAGGAGTGGACAGATCTGAGGGTCTCTGGCAGAAGGGGGTGGGACCAGGGCAAGTGCCAAGGAATGGTCACTAGAAGAGCCTCACTGTTCCTCTCAGGCCATGTGGGGGGGGGGGGGCTGGATGATGGTGCAGGCTGCTCAGAACCCTGGGCAGCAGAGGTCAAATGCCCAGCCTGGCCCTTGAGCACCCAAGGCACCAAGCCCAGCCCCACTTCCTCAAGGGGGTGCCCAGCTGCACTTATCTCATCCTCAAGGCGGCTGCTGCTGTGCTTGCTCTCCTTAGTCAGGTTGCTCATGATGTGTACGAAGGCAAAGTCAGAGAGAGGCCCATTCCCATGGGAGGAGACCCGGCTTTGTATCTAAAGCTTCCTTAGCAATAGGATGGGAGATCCCATGATAGGCCAGAAGGAGGGAGCAAGGAGATGGTGAAAGGGCAGCAGGGCAAGACTAAGGCAGGAGTTCCCTCAGACCCTCTCTCTCCTTTCTTTCTTTCTTTCTTTCTTTCTTTCTTTCTTTCTTTCTTTCTTTCTTTCTTTCTTTCCTTCCTTCCTTCCTTCCTTCCTTCCTTCCTTCCTTCCTTCCTTCCTTCCTTCCTTCCTTCCTAAGTACAGAGTGGTGGGAAAATGTTTGAGATGAGGGAGGGAAAAAAATAGGCAACAAACACATCTGGGGAGGAGTCACCCTTCGTGAGGAATGAAGAAGTGCACCATTACCTGGAAGTAGCCAGCACATAGCCCTCATCTATTTCACATATCTGGCTTGGTGGGCTCTGGGCGAAGGAATGCCATGAGCAGCGTGAGAGTCAACATTACCTGCGCAATACCACCTAGCCCCTAGTCTGCCCAGTCTTGGCAGGCAGCGGGGCGCTTTCCTCGCAGAGAGGTTGAGCCAGGCGGTGCGAAGCTCGTCAGCTTTGCACCTTGCTGCCTGCTGAAACTGGGCAGACTGGAGGCTAGGCAGCATTGCACTTCTCATCAGATTCGCGCCACCCGGCTCAGCTCTTGGCGCCTCGCTGCCTGCCAAAACTGGGCAGGCTGGGGGCTGGGTGGCATCGCACTTCTTTTGGGGTTTGCACCACCCGGTTTAGCCTCTCAGCGCTGTGAGGAGAGTGCCCCGCTGCCTGCCAGGCTGGCTGGCATCGTGCTTCTTTTGGGATTCGCGCTGGGAGCTGGGCGGCCTCGCACTTCTTTTTGGATTTGTGCCGCCCAGCTCAGCCTCTTGGTGCTGTGAGGAGAGCGCCCCACTGCCTGCCAAAATCCCTCCCCCGGAGCCCATCAAGCCGGACATGTGAAGTAGGCAATAGCCATTTGCTGGCCACTTCCAGGCGATGGTGCATTTCTTCATTCCTCACAAAGGTTGACACCTCTCCAGCATGCACCCAGGGGGTGGGGCTGATGCGGCAGGGGCTGGTTCCTTGCTGTTTCCAGACAGCCTTGTGGAGCTAAGATTGAATGCGTTTCAGCATAGATGGCCACCACAAAATTGTACATTGGCTCCTGGCTGGCCTGGGCCAGGGCCAAGGCAGAGGGGGCCATTCCCTCACTGTTTCTAGGATGGCTTTGCGGGCCACATGAAACCACATCGCGGGCCGCATCCGGCCCCCGGGCCTTGTGTTTGACATGTCTGCTTTAGATCATCAGATAGTTCTCCCTTCATTTTTGTGCATGTTAGTTGAATCAAAGGAGACCATCTAGTTATCAATTTTCCAGAGGAAATTTGCTCTAATATATTTGTCTTCAATTCAACCTGGTCTTCTTCCTCAGGTTTCTTCTGGTGTAAGTAGAAAGTCATATCCAATTTTATGGTTATTGTTTGGTTCAGTAGGCTGTACTTGTTGATTTTTAACACCCTCGATCTTGGTATTACTTTCTTCCGCTTCTGTTGTTTTTTGGGTTGTAGATTCTTTAGTTGCAATCAGGGTTTGGTTGTCTAGATTTTCAGTACATTGTACTTGTTGTTCTTTAAAGTCCTCTTTTCTTACCTCTGTGCTAAGTGCATGCAAGAAACGGATTGCTATGGCTACAGACTTAATTGACTAATCTAGTTGTAAAGCAAATTTTAATAAGCCTATTTAAATGAGAAATGTCTTGTGACACTTTGGAAAATGCTCTTGGCAGGTAAAGGAATATAGAACTCATACAATATGCCCCACCCTAATTCTATATACAGCAGCTCAATGTTTTGTGGGAAACTATTCAGCACTGCTGCTTTGTTAATAATCTCTAGACATTTCCTGGGCATCTATAAACTGAGAACCTGTTATATTTTAAATAAATACTTACCTATCTATGGAGAATTGTTTCAATGAAATAACAAGACTGTGGGCCTGATCTCAATGAAAACACTTTAATAGTGACCAAATACAACTTTTTAGGGATAAATCTTTTTAGCCTCATTCACAGTGCAAATTGTATAGCCATTCATTCTCTTACCTGATTCCAAATACAAAAAATCCCTGAGAAGGGAAGAGAGTTTAACTACCCTGACTCACCCCATTGCAGTAGTTAAAATAACTCTTTTCTTGTTTCTAATATTAGAAGAAACAAACCATCTTGATTAAGATTTTGGTAGGATGGATGGGTGGGAGAGATTTTTTTTTAAACAAAACCCCCCTCCCAATGCAAATAAAATGCATATTGTAATTGTGTGTGATATTGTATAATGATGTTAGCTTCCCATCTATATTATACTTACATACTGATTTTCATTACAGTTGTCTTTGCATTAATGTGATTATTACCTCTGCAGGGATCATGAGGAGAAATTCTGTGAGTGGCAGCAGCCTTGCCTCCCAGGAACAGCGACAAAGTAAAGGTGTAAAGTTTGCTAGTGATATTGGATGTCTGGTAAGGAATGGAGTAGACCAGCAGCTGGCTGGAAATTCTGGGAGTTAAAGTTCACACGTCTTAAGTTTGAGAAACACTAGAATGTTTCAAGAATGTTTGCTCTGGGCCAGCAATTAACTAGCCTCTGTTGAGCAGGCAAGTCTTGTGCAACCCACCTTGCCTTTTTCTTGTTTGAAGAAATTAGATCAATCTTTCCCCATGCATGGTATCTACAGGTATGTTTGCTGCCTTAAGTTATATATAAAAGTTGAGATAAAAAAATATAATAATAAGCTGCCTTTTGCTATTGACTGGTGATGATTTTGGCAATGGTATTAAAGTGGCGCTCCAGTGGTTTTGCACCTAAGGCGCCTATTACTATTGGTAATTTGCTTTCTTTTGCCAGTCATTCTATTTTGCAGGTCTACGGTCAGTTTCTGTTTTTGTCCAGTTCTTTCTCTTCTATTCTACTGTCTCCAAGTACTGCCATATCCAATATCCAGACTTCCTTGTTTTTCTTTTCGATAATTGTTAAGCCTATTCTGTCTGTTTAAATTTTATAATCCCAGAGTACGGTTTTATTTTTTATTATTTTTTTTCTATTTTGTGGTCAGTCAATTGCAAAAGGCAGCTTTACTTTGGAACAGCTTATATCTTGCGATGTTACTTTTAATACAGTCAAACAACATCTGCCTATCACAGGACCTTGGGAAGGACTTGATAGGTGGGCAAAAATGCCAAATCTAGTCTAAACAACTGACTCACTGCGTAGTCCATCATAATATGTAATATAGATCAGGACCCCATAAGAGTCAAACAACAGAACTTGAATGCAGCACACTAATTTTCAAAAGTTTCAGAAATAAAAACACAGGTGTAAGTATATGTATTTATTATTTTGCTATAGTAATCAAAATATGATGACCAAATCCATGTTTAATATTTCAGTACAGAAATTAGAATAATGGTATTCATTAATAACACTTGAAATCTTTTCTCCAAATTTCTAGTTATGTGTAGCATAAATAGGAGCTTGAAATTCTCAAGTATCAAATTCTGGCTAAAGAAATCATGCCATTATATAAATCTTCCTTAGACTGTCTGGATTGAATGTACTAAGCATGGTTTCTTAGACACATATTAATAAATAACATGTAACACCTCTTCTGGGTTACATCTAGCTATCTATTTAGATCTGATAGGAAAGGCATGTTATGGTCCAATCTGCTAAAGATTTCCATCTGATGGCACCTGAGCAACAAGCCTTTTCTGCCATAGCACCCATAACACTTTGGAGTATCATTCCCTCAAGGCAAGATTTGACTCAATCCTATTGGCATTCCAGAAATCTCTTTAAAAGTGGTATTTTTCCAGCAGGCTTGAGGACCCTATAATAACAGAGAGCCCATGAAATAATGTATGTGGGATTTGATGCATTTTAAGTTCATTGTTTTAATTATTATTTAAAAGTTGGTTTTAGGTTAATTGTTTTTAATCTGACAATAGCCTAACAATAACCATTGTTTTAATGGTTATTTAAAAATTGTTTTATTAGTTTTATTATACACCACCCAGAGTCACATCATTGAGATGGGCAGCTGTATAAATTTGATAAATGAAATAAACCACACATATATTGTGCTAAATCAGATCTATTAAACCATGTAATAAGATTCAAATATCATGTGAATCCAGAAGTGAACCACTTGTGACACTCCAGAATTAAAACTTCCATTAGCCCTAGCCAGCAATACCAATAGCAAGGCATGTTATGAGTTGAAGTATAGTAACAACTGAGTAATAAGGATGATCTTATTATAACCTCTACAAAAATGATGCATTTTTATGGCTTAACACATAAAGTAAAACCATTTCATCAACCAGCAATAGACATCCAATGTTTGCTATTTAAAATTCATTGTTCTCACAAATTATTTTTTATTTCTTCAGTAAGCAGACCATTGGTGGATACTTTTGTGGATTCTACCTCAGCCTGCTGCCCATCCTCAAAAGGATGGAATAAAAGGGCCTTCTGCAACATACGCCTTTTGCTCTGTTTATAAGGGCAGGCACTATTATTCAGTATGGCAAAGATATTTTGATAAAAGGAATAGAATTGATTTCTCTGAGGATTGTGTCTGCACCAATCAAGTAAGGATGACAACACTTCAGTGCTACTGAGTTTCTAAGCTTCAGATATGCAAAAGGATGCTGAACCCCTGCAATTTGGGAGGATTTCTCATGAAAATGTCAAGATGTGCATGCTTTTCTGCTGCTTCTGCCTTATAAAGGAATTCAATTAAAATAGAAGCAAAGTGAGCCCTATGGGATCTTTCGTGCTCTGGAGTGGAATCCTTATGCTTCAAGTCTTATTGGTCTATGTGCCTTGATAAGAGGAAGATCGACTTAGAATAGATCTTACTTGCTCTCCTTAATTCCCAAAGCCACCTCAAGCTTCTCTAAATTTTTAAACAGCTGTCTTATGGGAAATGACTATGCCGTAGTCTTAAAAGAAATAGGTCCTTTTCTCATTACTTCAGCTGCAAGTTGAGCCCCAACAGCAGTGGCAATCTACTTGATCTCCTCTGCACTTTTGGAAAAATTTGCCTTGATTGAGGTTCAACTTTTCTTACAAGGGTATCTGCACTTTGGAGTGAAAGCCTTGTACATGAAGCTGTACATCTATTGTAATATATATAAAGACAGGCTTTGAAAGGAAAGCTGATATTGCATAAGGCAACACCAACTGGCCAAAATAAAAAATGTGAACAATGAAAATAAATAAACATAATTCCGAAAAAAACAGTCCAGATTCTTTGACCCTTTTCCCCTCTCTCTTCCCTGTACAATACTTACTATTATATTTCGAGCTCCCCATTGAGGTTGTGTTCAGGCCAAGAGCTTTTAGGAGAGTATTCCTTTTTCCTCCATTTAGATTCAAAAAATGAGAAGCAGGTAGTGAAAAAACAAGGGTTGCAAGTAGGAAACAATGGCATTGATCCATACCTTCCCCCAAGTATTTCTGTTAATAAGGCAGGCACTAGCACAATAAAATATTTATTAGGAAGCTAGTACTTTGGGATCTAGAAGCTGTTTTGAATCCCCCTCTCACAGAGCAAGGAAGGCTGCATTCCTGCACTGAGGGGTGATCCCACCTCTCTTGACTTCCAGTTCTGCACATCAGCATTATTGGTAGAGGCAAAAACAAAACAAAAAACAACCATTGCTGTTGAAGATTTCTAGTTTTCCATTTCCTTGGTGTTATAAATACATAAATGTGCAAAAAAGCAGCAAATTTATGGTAATAGTGATACAGATGAATTCAGCTCCGTTATCATCAGCAGAACTTCCAAGGGAATAAAAGAGAAAGAACTATAAAATGCACCTCTTCTCAATACTGACACAATCCAAGAAAGCATTGCATTCTACTTTTTCTTGTTGCCCCCATTTCCAATAAAATGATTTTAATAATAAACCTCTTTGATGCAAAAGGCACATTCTACAGTAAAAGAAATATATTTATAAAAACTACCATAGCTGGGATATACCAAAGATGAACAATCTCATGATCAAAACTCTTTATAAGCAGAGGAGAGAATCTAACAGAAACAATAAAGACAAATGGATGAAATTTGCAATGGGAGATATCTGAGTGAAAGCAACAAGCAGGAACTGTCACACATTTCAACTATTTAGGTAGTTTACTCTCCAAGAATGTGGTAGAGTGTTATTGGGCTCAATCCTGTTTGTTTGGTTCATATAAATAGATTGCTGGGCACTCTAGAGAAATAGAATTAGAAGGTTAAGCTATAATTGCCCTAATTCTAGACTTGAAAATATTCTAGAATTCTAATAAGAGGGGAAACTCTTGCTATTGAAATCTGAATTGCAAACAAATAATATAGGGGAAATTTTCTATAAAAAAGAAAATTCTTTTCTTTGAACTTTAAAGAAATATGCATTTGATAAATGCCTTGTCTGGCTTCTAGTCAATTACTGGTTTAATGATTCACTTACTCTAAACATGTAAGAAACAATAAGAGCAACAATACAGTTGTCAGAGTAGCACATCAAAAAGTATATGGCCTGGAAATGAACTGCCAAAGCCTGCTAGAATTCTGCTTAATTAAAAAAAAAAAAACTTCAGTAATTCAGGGCTAGGGATTTGTGAAATAAGAATTTTTGATTTTTTGCCATTTAATAATAATAATAATAATAATAGTAAAGTTGGAAGGGACCTTGGAGGTCATCTAGTCCAACCCCCTGCTCGGGCAGGAAACCCTACACCATTTCGGACAAATGGCTGTCCAGTCTCTTCTTAAAAACTTCCAGTGTTGGAGCATTTACTGCTTCTGGAGGCAAGCTGTTCCACTGATTAATTGTTCTCACTGTCAGGAAGTTTCTCCTTAGTTCTAGGTTGCTTCTCTCCTTGATTAGTTTCCACCCGTTGCTTCTTGTCCTGCCTTCAGGTGCTTTGGAAAATAGCTTAATTCCCTCTTCTTTATGGCAGCCCCTGAGATATTGGAATACTGCTATCATGTCCCCCCTTGTCCTTCTCTTCGTTAAACTAGACATACCCAATTCTAGCAACCGTTCCTTATATGTTTTAGCCTCCAGTCCCCTAATCATCTTTGTTGCTCTTCTCTGTACTCTTTCTAGAGTCTCAACATCTTTTTTACATCGTGGTGACCAAAACTGGATGCAGTATTCCAAGTGTGGCCTTACCAAGGCATTGAAGAGTGGTATTAATACTTCGCGTGATCTTGATTCTATCCCTCTGTTAATGCAGCCTAGTACTGTGTTGGCCTTTTTGGCAGCTGCCGCACACTGCTGGCTCATATTTAACTGATTGTCTACTAGGACTCCGAGGTCCCTCTCACAGTTACTACTATTGAGCATGGTGCCACCTATGCTGTACTTGTGCATTTGGTTTTTCTTGCCTAAATGTAGAACCTTGCTTTTTTCACCATTGAATTTCATTTTGTTAGTTAGTGCCCAGTGTTCAAGTCTGTCCAGATCCTTCTGTACCTGAAGCCTGTCTTCTGGAGTGTTGGCTATTCCTGCCAGCTTGGTGTCATCTGCAAATTTGATGAGTTCCCCATCTATCCCTTCATCCAAATCGTTGATGAAGATGTTGAAGAGTACTGGGCCCAGAACAGAGCCCTGGGGCACCCCACTACACACTTCCCTCCATATAGATGCAGTTCCATTGAGGACCACTCGCTGAGTACGGCCGGTCAGCCAGCTACGGATCCATCTGGTGGTGGTTCTGTCTACCCCACATTTTTCTATCTTGTCAAGTAGTAGGTTGTGATCTACTTTATCAAATGCCTTACTGAAGTCCAAGTAAATTATGTCCACAGCATTCCTCTGATCCACTAATTTTGTCACTTGGTCAAAGAATGCAATAAGATTTGTCTGGCATGATCTATTTTTGACAAACCCATGTTGGCTTTTAGTAATGACTTTGTTTGCCTCTAGGTGTTCGTTGATTCGTTGTTTGATTATCTTTTCCAGGATCTTCCCAGGTATTGAGGTCAGGCTGATAGGTCTGTAATTTCCTGGATCCATTTTTTTTCCTTTTTTGAGGATGGGAACTACATCAGCTCTTTTCCAGTCCTCTGGTAGTTCCCCTGTGTTCCAGGATCTTTGAAAAATATAGTTCAGTGGCTCCGATATCACATCTGCCAGTTCCTTGAGAACTCTGGGGTGTAATCCATCTGGTCCTGGCGATTTGAACTCATCTAGGCTGGACAGGTGCTCCCTAACCATTTTCTTGCCTATCTTAACTTGTGTTTCTGTTTTGTTTTTTATGGCACTATTTTTGATAGGTTGGTCTGTTTTTTCCCTTTGTGTAAAGACAGATGCAAAAAATGAGTTAAATAGTTCTGCTTTCTCCCTGTTGCTTGTCACCTTCTTGCCACTTCCACCCACTAATGGACCAATCATTTCCTTCACTTTTTTCTTGTTTTTTACATGTTGAAAGAAGCTTTTTTTGTTATTTTTGACTTTGGTCGCAAGCCTTAGTTCATTTTGAGCCTTGGCTTTCTTCACTTCATCTTTGCAGGCTCGGGCTATTTGCTGATATTCTGACTTAGTTATGTTCCCCTCTTTCCACTTTCTGTACTTGTCCTTTTTATCTTTCAATTTGTCAGAGAGTTCTTTATGCAGCCATGCTGGTTTCTTTTGAGAGCTGTTATTTTTCCTCTTTGTTGGTATTGTGCTAGACTGTGCTTTTATTATCTCATTTTTCAAAATTTCCCAAGCTTCTTGAGTTGTTTTCCCCTTGAGGATTCTCATCCATGGAATCCTTCCCAAGCCCTCTCTAAGTTTATTGAAATTAGCTCTCTTGAAGTCCAAGACTCTAGTTTGACTGTGTTCTATTGGTTGTGCTTCTATAATGTTGAATTCTAATATTGCATGATCACTTCCTCCCAGGGTTCCTATGGCTTCAACACCGTCTATCATTTCATCTCTGTTAGTGAGAATTAGATCCAAAATGGCTAATCCCCTAGTTCCCTTCTCTACTTTTTGGGAGACAAAGTTGTCTGCTAGGTTTGCCAGGAACCTGTTTGATCTTCCACTTGGTGCGGAGTTTGTCTCCCAGTTGATGTCAGGGTAGTTAAAGTCCCCCATTACTATTGTGATGTGCTTCCTACATACCTTAGTTAGCTGACTAGCAAAAAGTTCATCTATTTCCTCTGTTTGGTTGGGTGGTCTGTAGTATACACCTATGGCAATGTCATTTCCCCCCCCCTTTTATATTGACCCAAATGCATTCAAGAGAGTTTTTATCATTGTTGTACTCTATTTCTGTGGAGATGTAGTTATTTCTTATATAGAGAGCAACTCCACCTCCTCTTTTATTTGGTCTGTTTCTTTTAAATAATTTAAATCCCTCTAGCTGTGTGTTCCATGTGTGAGTTTCATCCCACCATGTTTCCGTAATGGCAACAATATCGTATCTGCCCTCATTAACCTGAATTTCTAGTTCACCCTGTTTGCTGTTCATACTCTGTGCATTGGTGTATAAACATTTGAGTCCTTTGTGGGTGGCCCTGTGTTTCCTTTCTACATAACCTGTGTGGTGCCTGAGTTCCCCTATTGTCTTACCACCTATTTGGTTAGTGCACTTTATGTGGCACTCGCTATTAGAGGCTTCATTTTGATTGGTAGCAAGGTTGGTATTCTTGTCCACACACACATCTATGCTACATGCACTGATAGCCCTATAGTTTTTAAATTGCCGGGGACAGGGTTGTTCCGTATCAATTAACTCCCTGTCCCCGCTGTTTAGTTTAAATTTCCCTCCAGAAAATCTGTGAATTTATAGCCGAGTAACTCAGTCCCTTTTTTTGATGGATGCAAACCATCTCTTTTGTACATCTTTTGATTGGACCAGCTACTGACATCGTGACTAATATATCCAAAGCCTTCCCCTTTACACCACTCCTTTAGCCACATATTGAATTGTGCTATGCGCTGGCCTTTTCCGTTTTGCTCCTTATACACTGGTAAAACCTCTGAGAAAGTAAGCCTACAGCCTATTCTGCTAAGTTCCTTCCCCAAGCTCTGGAAATCATTCTGCACAGAGAGTACATCTTTTTGGGACAGATCATTAGTGCCAAGATGTACAATAGCCTCCACATCACAGTCCTTGCTGCCATTCTTGATTATTTTAGAAATACGCTTCTTGTCCCTACTGGCAGTAGCACCTGGAAGACACCTGACCTCTTTCAAAGCCTCTGTGTCCTTTCCTAAATTTACATCCCTTATAATTGAATCACCTACCAGAAGGTAGCTTCTCTTTTTGGGAGCCTTTCTATTCTTGCATGACTGATGTGCAATACCTGATTCACACTTCTCCCTGTCAAAATCTAGTTCTTCATCTCGGACCACAATCCCCTGCTTATTTGAGTTATCTTCACAAATACCTTTACCAGTCTCCTTAATGTCCCTATTAAGGTCAGCAAGAGCACTGTAGCTGTTGTGCAGGGACACAGCGAAAGCTTTGTGTTTATGGTTCACAGCTCTCACCCTGCCAGATCCCACGGTTGTCCACACTGCCCTTTTCCTGCAGGATCTTTGTGGTAAAGGGGGCTGATAGCAGGGAGGCTTACTAGAGTAGAGGGGCTGAACTGGACACCTAATTTCTGCCCGAAGAGCACGGATTACAGACCCTAGGTAAATGATCTGTCCTTGTAGGCTAGTGATTTGTTTACAAGGGGGGGGAAAGTACAGGCTCATCTAAATACTAAATATTATATGTCAAGTTTTTCTATTTTCTGAAGTCACCCTTATATATTTTTTATTAAAAATATCGATTACAATAGTAAAATATATCTAAACTTAAAGAGAATAGAGAAAAGGAATAAAAAGTGTAAAAAAAAGAAAAATGAAAAAGAACAAAAGATAAATATAAAGAGGTGATATCAAACCATCACAAGTATAAAATTTAATAACTCTTCAGCCTCACTAAAGTTACAAACATTTATCACTTTATCCAATATTTCATCTGTTATCTATTCCTTTTCTTCAAATAAATTTATTTGTGTATTAATACTATAAGATGCAAAAATACAAAAGAAAATGGTAGGAAAGATAGGGGAGGGAAAAGGGCAGGGGAAAGTGTGGGGAAAAGGGAAAAGAAAGAAAAAGTGTTGATTTCTGACTTCCTTTGGTGCAGCAGAATAACAAAATAACATCAAATCTCAACTTTGTATTTTTACGCAAATTAGCCATTTCTATAATAACAAACCTATCTAATCAGTCCCCTTTATGGATTACTGCCTTGTCATGGCGAAGGGGCTTGCGTAACTCAATGAAGCTATAAGCTATGCCGTGCAGGGCCACCCAAGACGGACAGGTTATAGCAGAGAGTTCTGACAAAATGTGATCCACTGGAGAAGGAAATGGCAAACCACTCCAGTATCTTTGCCATGAAAACCCCATGGACAATACTAAAAGGAAAAAATATATGACGCTGGAAGATGAGCCCCTCAGGTCGGAAGGTGTCCAATATGCTACTGGGGAAGAGCAGAGGGCTAGTACTAGTAGCGCCAGAAAGAATGAAGTGACTGGGCCAAAGCCGAAAGGACGCTCAGCTATGGATGCATCTGGTGGTGA